GACCAATATAAAGACTAATGCCACTATTACCCATCCATCCATCTAATGGTATGGCTAATTTCAGTAACAGAGCATGACAAGCAACTTCAAGAGGTTGTCAGCAAGCTGACTTATACCACACCACTTCAAGAAGCATTCAAACCTTCTCTTTTTTTTTTTTTTTAATGTTGTGTTGTGAAAGGTGCCCTCATGAAAGGAGCTAAAGTTATAGTGCCGCCGAGTCTCAGAGCTGAGGTGCTGAAACACTTTCACAGCAATCACCTAGGCGTTAACAAGTGTAAAGCACCAGCCAGACAGCATGCTCTGGAGGGGATCAATACAGATATCAAAGAGATGATCAGCCGATGCGGAACCTGCAAGAAGTATGCCTAAAGCTAGTGGGGAGGAGCCTCTTCAACCACAAAATACAACCTCCAACCATGGGCATGAATTGAATCAGAACTGTTTATGTAAGCTGCAAAATCGTACCTGGTCCTCTATGATGCTTACTCAAGCTTTCCCGAGGTCGCCCAACTACCAGATACCACATAAAAATCTTATTGACATTTGTGGGGATCCGTCCGGCCGCCCCACCTTGGAGCCCCGTCTTTCCCGAATTTCCCCTGCCCCTTCGCCCGTTCTGCCCGCGCCCTGCCAGGGCCGAACATTCTTGCTGACCCGGATCCGTGGACGGAGGTGCGTCACCGCAATCCCCGCTCGGGGGTCGTGTGGGGACCGTGGCGGGGGCGTGCGTGTACACGTGGACGGGTCATGGTGGGCACGTGATCGGTGGGGGCGAGGATATAAAAAGGGGAACAGAGACAAAGGAAGGTCTCTCTGGCTGCCGACTTGGGGATCAACGAGTTACGGAGGCGAGCTGGGACGGCGGCGGACGCAGGCGCGGGGAAAGTGCGGGCACTACGTCGAGTGGCGAACTCGACAAACGGACCGGACAGCGATCCTGGACGACGACGTCCCCATGACGCGGTGTGGACGACCACCGCTGGGACTTGGAAAAGCTGCTTGGGCAGCGGACTTCCCCTGGCCTCGCTGTTGGCCGTCCCCCGATCCCAAAACCCCCCAAAGGCAATGAGTGAGTGAATAAACCTTTTGCCGAGAGCAAAGTATTGCAGTGTCATATTCATCCGGAGACAGGGTCTGTGGGAATGGGAGCTAGAAGATGCCTGCACATCATGGCAAACAAGTTTTCTTGCCATGGCATCCCGCTCGAAATTTGTACAGACGGCGGCCCACAGTTCTCAGCAAGAGAATCCACCGAGTTTGCATCGCACTATGACTTGAAATATCTGATGCCTAGTACGCACATCCCAAGATCTAATGAACTTCCGGAAAAAGGCTTGAAAATTGTGAAAAGACCGCTGAGAAAGTGCAAACATTCCAGCCAAGACTTTTGGTTACGTTTACTAACCTACAAGACTACCACTCGAATGCGGAGTAGCTCCAGTTGAGCTATGAGCGAGATGAAAGGATGCATGCTACTACCCGACTTGTGTTGCAGCTAGCTATACTTATTTTCATACTTAATATTGTCACGGATGACACACAAGACAGGGGTGAAAAAAAGAGACTAAGGGTTTAATGTGACGAGCTTGTGCCAAACCAAAAATTAAATGACTGCGCATTGCGGGCGTCAATGTCGGCGCAGCAGCAGGATCGAGCACTGGAGAAAGACTGACTGTGGCTTGACAGGCGTAGCCCCTTTTGTACACATGCGTGGGCTTCTAGAACAATCGGCGTAAAAGGTTCGGCGCGTAGAACATTCGGACCTCGAACAACCCAACAGGGTTCTCAAATTTACCAAAACACTAAATTGAAAGAATAAATAAAAGACGTGTCACTCCAAGGAATCAAACCCTAACTTTTCGCATAGGAAGCAAGCACGATAACCGTTAAATCGCGGGCGCGCTGCCCACTTGGCCAGCTGCACACACCTGTGACCGTTAAGGCCCTGTCACACTGGGACAACAGTTGAACAACTCTATCAGACAAAACAAGGAAATCGTGTTGCTGGTGGCCTTGTCACATCGTGGCAATAACAACAGTCTGGCAACAAGCCGCTGCCACCCGGCAACCGTGTTGTCCGATTTGTTGTCTGACCACCCTGTCACACCGCGCTGATAGCGGGGACAACACGGGAAACACTCCGCCATCTTGACTGTTTACCATCGTTCGTGTGCGGCATCAATGAAAATGTGACTCTGCAAAGTGCTAGTGTTCGAAGGGCCCGAAATAACCACGGGACGACATCAACAAGTGACTGATTACAAAACTTGACACGGGGGGGTATTTTCCATCTTTATTTTATCAAAATGTTCTTCATTCGCTGACAAAGCAGATAGCCCTAACCGAACATATAGCAGTGATATATGTTCGGGATTTACGCCCCTGTATGAAGTGTTTCGGTCCATTTCTTTCTTTCATACAGTTTCTATTTCTGCTGTAAAATTGAGTGAGCACCGGAAGTACCCAAAAGCGTCTTTTGTAGCACAGTTTTAAGCTGAAGTGGCAGGGCTTCAAAACTGCGACACCGACCAGATTGGCTTTCATAATAACAATCGGTGGAATAAATATTTTTCAACGCTTCAACGCAGCAGCTTTGACAGCACCATACATTAAGTATGAAAGAGGGTAGATTGTTGCTAAAACACAATCAAGACAGGAACTGCAGTTGAACCTATTACCGTTTGGACCATGAAGATGCCGTACAAGTTAGAGTAACCTAACGTTGCCTACCGGCAACCCCATATGTGAAAAAAGGTTATTTTCACGTCCAAAAGAAAGCTGATCAGAAAAGAAAGCACACAACATAAGTTGCCATACAGGTGCGTTCATGGCGGCATGTGCACCTGCTAGCCTGCCTTTCGTTAGGTACTTCATCATAATATTAGTATACGGGGGGGGGGCACTTTCCTTTACACTGTATTACATGCTTGTGTCAGGCGAAATAATCATGGTCAGCAGGGGACGAACACCTAAGCCTATAATGATGCAACTGTACAGAGGACTTGTTCTCTCCAGACTAATGTATTCACTGCCACTTGTCTACTTCAATAATGTGCAGTCATCAGCCATTGTGACAGTCCAAAGAATCGCTGTTCGATCATGTTCAGGCTTACCGAGATACTTGCCCAACATTCCCACGCTTGTAGAAGGAAGGATAAATCTAGTCGAGAACCAAGGTAAAGAATTGTTGCTTCACCACATTGCAAGGCTAATGGATTGCCAGTCAACTGGCTCTCACCTAAAGCGCTTACAGAGCCGCTTACTCTCTCGGCTAGGAGAACTAGCAACAGAGTTCAACAAGCTTGTGGAAGCCCCTGACATCTGCCATCCCCCTCCACCACCTTACGCCCGATCGCTGAATATCAACGAGTCCATCCCCGACCTCCGATGCAAATAACTCACTGCACAAGTTGTCGCCTGAGGTCTCGTACAAGACTTACAAGAGGAATCTTTCCCGGAGTGAATTAATGTCTACACCAATGGCTCAATGCTTCACATAAAAGAGTCATCTACTGCAGCAATCTCTATCCCAGAACTCAAGGTGACCAAATATAGAGAACTCAGTTTTCTCACGTCTACAACTGCTGAGCTTGCCGCTCTTTGGCTAGGCCATGGCACAGTTGACAACAACCCCCATTATGGAAAGGCAGTCCTAATGGACTCCAGAATGGAGCTGCAGCTACTAAATAACCTATAGTCGGTGACAGGTCAAAAAGGAAGTGGAAGCTCCTCCCTCCTCTTCCCACTTTAGTAGAGCAAACGCTGGAGAGGGGGCGACCCCCACTCCACCAATCGCTCCGCTGAAGTGGAAAGGGGTGGGAGGAGCTTCCACTTCGTTCTAAACCTGTCACCGGCTATAGATGGTGCCCCCCAATATGCTCAGTACGTTGCCCACATCGCAAGAGCCTTGGAGACGAAAGGCTGGCAGTCAGCTTTTCAATGGCTGACTTCACACGCTAGAATCATGTGCAACGGAACAGCCGATCGTCTAGTTGCAGAAGTGCACCAGCTTAACATGCCAATACTCAGCGTCCCGAAAATCCATGAGGCCAGGCAGTTAATACACAAAAAAATGAAGCGACATCATCCTGATCCGAGAATCTTCGGAGGAAGACCACCCGCCCACGTGCTTCTGAAGCTTTTACAAGCCAATGCCTCCATCTTGCACGGGCTTCATACTGTGTGTGCTTTCACTGCTGCAGCAATTCATTGTTTTGATTCAACGATCAGCCCAACTTGCTCAATCTGCAATGTCCCTGAGGACATAGAGCATACCCTCTGTATTTGCCTAGCTCTAGCGAATGCCAGGAAATCCTTCCACGATGGACTACAACTCGCCAGGGTTGCCCGCACCACAGTCGAAGACACCTTTCCCACCTGGATCGGTCAAGAACGCCACTAAAACATTCGCTCTACTCATCCGATTCTTAAGACACCAAACTACTGGACCGTTTCCAAAGGAGTAGTTAATCCAAACTACCCCGATTCTCTCTTTTTCTACCTCTTTATCTGTTTCTTTCTTCCGGCTCCACTTACCTACCCTTTTCTAACTCTGAACTAACTCGCTCCCTACAGGTGTGGCCAACATATTCTGAGCTTTCTTTTCCTTCTCAACACCTCTCAACACTACTACTTGTCAGCCGAAATTTGACAGCATCACGATTTTGGGCAAAGGGGTTGACAAAACTGCGAGGGAATTGCTGGAAGCCTTCGAAGAGTCCACGTGCTGATGCGATGACGGTTTGGTTCTTTACCTCGGCGTTTTCTTTTCCTTAAACGCTCAGTTGAAGTTCGGCGGTCGACCTGTCCATTCCTCCCTTTGTGCATTATTTTGAGCGCTGCTACCAGTTTGTAATCATGAACCAGCACGGCTGCATGCATTGTTTCATTGTATGCACGAAGCCTAAGACCGTCCCGTGGGCTGGCCGGTACCTATACAGACACTCTGGCCCACGCTAAGTCGTCGTTATGTAAAGTTCGTGTTGTTGCGCGCTTACCTTCAGATTTGAGAAGTTTGAAGGGTGAAGGTTTGCTTTCTGACGTGCCGGCCATGCCCTCTGATGAAGCTGACATGGTGACATGTAGGGTCAAATCAACATGAATCCCGCGCTTGTCCGCAGCCTGCTTCTCAATCACCACTGCAGCGCTTTTTTTCTTTTCTCTTTTTTTGGTGACAATAGAACTGGACTGGAAAGCACTCGCTTACGCCGTTTCGAACACACTGGTGTCTGGTTTTAAAAGCTTCGGAACCGTTCCGGCGATTCCGCCAGCTCTGTTCCGCTTTCTGATTGGCCTGATTTGACAGATCATTGTAGCCAGAGTGTCGATCCTCCAAGCCGCTCAAAGCACTCCAAGCACGTTCAAATACGAACAAGTATGTGTCTAAGTAATCAAATAATACTTATAATAGCTTAAAAAGTGATGTGAAGACGTATTATTTTTATATTCACGTTTATTTGCGATTTTAGAGGAATTCAAAGGAGTTCGGTGGTAATGTACTTGTGGCTCTGGCCTTTTCTGTCAGCCCCATCACGAAAACAATCGTTTGCATTTCTTTCCAAGGACGTTGATTTCTTTGGATCTTTGAAGGAGCGTTCACGTTTTCTTTTCTTGTTGAAGAGATGATTTCCTCCTGCGTTAGAACCACTGAGTAGACAGAACTCGAATCGTTATATTTTTCTTAACGATGTCCTCGAGTTTAATAGCGGCCGGCATCGCGCTTGCCGCCGTCGGTTTCACCGGAAGAGCCATCCTGCGGTCGTCGAAAGCGTGGTCCAAGACCTTGCAGGAGAGCTGGAAGTCGCTGCCGACCGCGGACGCTCTCGTGGGCTCCAAGTACTACAAAGGCGGGTTCGAGACGAAGATGAGCAAGCGTGAAGCCGGGCTCATCCTTGGCGTGAGCCCAACGGCGAGCAAATCCAAGTTGAAGGACGCTCACAAAAGGATCATGCTGCTGAACCACCCTGATCGCGGAGGATCGCCCTACCTCGCTGCCAAAATCAACGAGGCCAAGGACTTGCTAGAGGGCGGAAAGGCAAAGTGATCGACGTCGTCTCTGTTTTATACCACTTTCTCCATCAAGTGTGAAGAAAGTGCGCTGTAGTCCTGCCAAATGAAAGCTAGTGTTTGACTTTACTGTCAAAGATGTTATGGGCCGAAAGGTCTAGTACGCTCATAGAGCTTAATCTAAACGTAGTGCATCGTGCCACAAAGACGGGGAGTTTAGTTTTGCCATGAGGTTTCTGTTTGCTGCTTAAATAGATGGCTTGTATGTCACTCTGGTGGTCACCGTTTGTCACTTCGGTGGCGTTACTCACGGCACACGGGCTACTAATTAGCCGGCGTTACCACGGAGAGTAAAGCTATACGCAGGACGTCGTGCGTATAGCTTTACTCTCCGTGGTATCGCGGTGACAGTCTGCGGCTGCTCATTACAAAACTATTACCCACTTGGCCCCCAGTACACGCTGCTCTACGGCGTCCAACCCAAGCCCCGTTGACCCCCATTGCACCTCCGGAAGAGGAGTCCCATACTATTTATGTCGGCAAAGTTTCGTCAACAACATTTTTTTTTTTTTCAGTGATAATTGTAAGAAAGAAATGACGTAAATATTGTAAAATGTTAAAAAAAAAAAAGTATGCCCACACTCTGGATTGAACTTGAATCTCCTGCATATCAAGCGGGCACCTTTCCACTAAACTATGCTACATCTCGAGAAGCTTGTTTTCACTGCGTTTTATAACAGACCCAAAAAGTTTTGCGTCGTGCGTATTCGCAACTCCAATGCCCTATAGATGGCGGGGCGATAGTTCCAAAATTATCCGTGCGCCTGCTCGCTGACGTTGATCAATGTGGTTAAATTAATTTTGTTACAATGGCGAAACGGTGAGGACAGGAGCATATCACAGTTGACCGAAATGTTAACGGACGTTATAGGGAAACCAGTATGTTTTTTGTTTTGTTTCTGTAGTGGCAAAAAACATTACAGGACTGACGCTCTGTGGAAGGCGAGCGTGTTTTGGGCGGTGGTCATATCATTGTGTGTGCCCAAAAATTTTTCTGGGTGGTGAAAATATTGTGATGTCTGCACAGTGCTCTGAAACGAGAGCTGCGCATGATTGTTAAGCTCCACTAGAGCAGCGTTCACCGTATTGATGTTTCTGTGTCAGAGGCTCACAGCACACCGTCGCGGTTTTACGGTTCTACTGCATTGCAACACATGACCAACCTGTGCCATGGTTACTATAGGCAGATTGAGCTTACACTCTAAAAAAATTTTGTGCGTCAACTTTTACGCACAACACCTCGGAGAGCCAATCACCACAACTTACGGAGACAGCTCAGCGAATGACACTGCCGAAACATACGTTTAGACCAAAAAAAAATGCAGACTAAGTTGTGACATTAGGCAATGCAAAACGTCACGCTTGCATTGCTTAATGCCACAACTCAGACTGCGTTTTTTGGTCTAAACATATGTTTCGGCATTGTCATTCGCTGAGCTGCCTCCGTAAGTTGCGGTGGTTGGCTCTTCGAGTGTTGTGCGAGAAAGCAGACGCACAAGCTTTTTTCTATAGTGTAGCGTAGCCGCAGGCTACTGTATGGTGAGGCATTGCGACTAGAAGTTCTCACTGAAGCATGATTTTCAGTGCGCACAAGGAGCATTGACGTGTGCCTACGATAGCCTGCGGTAACGTTATGCAAGAACTGCATAAGAAAGCCATCGGCATGTTTGGGTTTTTTATTTATTGCTCTGTCAAAATGAATATTCAAATTAATTTATTTGTATACACTATATTGCCACATGAATACCATGTTATTCGCATTGCCGAGACCCGCCTCACCAAAACTGCCCAATCTAAGCACACATTATGATCAGCACACAGACGCTCTTAAAAATACTACAAGAATTTTTTCATTTACCCGTATAATTAGCTGAAAACATGTGTGCGAAATTTGTTTTTCTTTTTTTTGAAGTGTTTGAAAAACACTGATACATTTTCCTCACGTTTTGGCGCATAAAATGCAAACCTATTCCCGATACCAATTGCTCGATCGTGGCTTAATACACCGTTGCGCGAGCAGTTCTCTCCTACTTTCTGCAAAGAATAAACCTTTCGTAGATCGTATTCAAGAACTTTGGACCACTAGAGGGAGCTTCTGCGATACGGCGACCGCAGGACCCGAAATCCGCAGCTTCTACGATCTACGAAAAGTTCCTAATGTAAGGAGACATCCTGGTCCCTTCGCGCAACGCTATTGCAAAGTGGACCACAAGAATTCCTATCTTAATGAACTCGCTTTTTCCATGAAAACTGCATGATGCACGAACACACCGACCAGAAGAAGCAGCACCAGGGCCTACACTCCCTGCTACCGTCTCCGCCGCCGTCCCTGCTCCTCTGGTTCTTCGTTCGTCCATGAGTGGGCGAGCGGCGGGCTGAAGTTGCGAATAGCCATTTCCGTTCGAGGTGCATGACGCTGTTCATTTAGCTTTACTGTACCACGGAAATGCTTAACACGAGAAAGCGACTTCTTTGTGGGTCCATGTCAGCTTAAAGAAGCCATAGGACAATTTTCTTTTTTTCGCTAAATACTACTCAGAATCACTTCCTAACACTAAAGGCCCGTTCACACTCTTGCGACCGAGTACGACTGAGAGAGACGAGATCTCTTACAACTTCTTAAATGTTTCTAGAATGAGGGAACACACTGACATTGTGGCGCCATCTATGCGGTGACCCTAGAACTGCATTTCACAAAAGCGAAGGTTTTGCGGGATTTCCGAGGTCAAATGTGCGTAATACCCATAGAAAGGCTCGTTTATAACATTGACAAAAGCTTTTCGAGCCAAAAAAGAAAGGATATTGCGCGAGAAATAAAAAAAAAAATATGCCGGACCGAAGAGTTTACACTGCTTCCTAATAGATGGCGCCAGTGTGTTCTCTGGTTTAAGAAGTTTTAAGGAACCCAGGTTTAAGAGGTCGCAAGCAGTCGCAAGAGTGTGAACGGGCCTTAATCACGGAATAAACTTGCCTTAGTTGTTCTTTCTAGGCAATGGGCAGCCGGGAAAAATGTTTGAGAAATATGAGCAAATGTTTCATCCCCTGAACTCGGAGCCCGAACAAGTGGCCTTATTGCCTGGTGCCTATCCTATGCCGCTGGGGTTCGCAGAGTAGAAAACGCGTGCTGAGCTCCAGGCATTGTTAGAGTTTGGCTATTCTCATCACTGCAGTGGTTGGACATGAGCCACTACCCAAGTGTTTGCTGAGGCATTGACGGTTACGAGCCGAAGTCGAGCGCCCTCGCAGTTCTCGTATCCAATCCATGAGCCGCGCTCGACTCTCGTCAAGCAAGTGGTTTCAGGTTTCAGTCTCACAATTACGTCATCAAGCTTTGCGAAGGCAAGACTGAAAAAAATTGTCCCCTTTTTATCCTCGCAATTTCATTGTGGCAAAGAATCTTCTGAATCAGTGGTGGTCTATGTGAGTATACTTGGGCCAGACTATGACCAGTACGGCAGATTGCTGAAAAGAGTGGTTTATTGAAAAAGTGCTGATTGGTGCAAAGAGGACACATGAATTAGCATAGAAGGGCCATGAAATGATTTGATTACTTTAAAAAATACTGTTCAGAATGAGTCCTTGGTATTCATAACCTGCAAAATGCACGGTACTTTTTTTCCACACAGCGTCACGTTCGCTGCACAGCTTGTACGTGACCTCATGCTAGAAAAACGGGCCCCACGCCATGCTGGTGATTGACTTCGCACAGTGTGTATGCACTTACTATGGCATAGGATGCCTCTGACGGCTTGGATATGCGCTCAAATGCAGTTTATTTTCAACAAGGGCACCTAGTTTTCGACATCTAACCTTGGAACAATGTGCCAAGCTTATGATGAAAACGTTCAGCCAGTATGTGCAGAATTTTTCACCGTCGATGCAAATGCGCAACGAGCAGAAAGTAACAGTATGCCGCCGATGCAAGATTTCGATGTTAAGGGTTATAGTGTCGGCACATTAAGACTGAATACACCGCTCAAGGTATGTAAATTGTGGGAAACCCCCAATTATTTGACAAGTGGCTCTAAGAGTTGCATAGAGGTTTTTCCAGTAAAGTGGTTCCGATTTTGCAAAGCAAGGGTTGCCATGTCGTGGACGGTACAAGCCAGTGCCCCAGTGGTAGCTTCTCGGCATGCAAGCATCGGGAATCGCCTTCTGCGCTCCAGATGCGACACGCTTGCTCACCCTGCCAGGGAGGTACACTCTAAGCATTGAAACGGTGCAGTGAAGCGAGAGGCAAAGGGCATCCACATCACAAACGGGAAAAGCTGATGCAGGGGCTTGCATGAAAATCAACAATGTTAGGAAAGTGCCATCACTCTCCACTACATAATTTGTTTCACAAACTCCATACTGTGCTACCACATCCCTTCTCTGCCGCCCGTAACTTCTCTTCCTTGACAACTACTCTGCCGTGTGGCATGCTGATGAAATGATCGCCAGCATACATAGCAATAGCTACAGCCGAATGCGGCACAGTTTACCATGGCTCTCGCTCAGTAGTGTCACCTGGGGGAAGGGGGGGGGGGTGCAGATCGCCCTGTAGGCAGCTCTCGGGGGGGGGGGGGGGGGGGGGGGTTGTCGGTGTCGCAAAGGGCCACTGTCCCCGGTGCACTGACCCTAGTGACGCCACTGCTCTCACTGCAAATGACCATTGATGGATGGATGGTTGCAAACTGCTGTACCCTTTATATCGGGCAGTAGCTTGCACCACCTAGCCTTGAAATTAAGAACCAAAAATAGGATTTCTTTCCTTTTCCAATTTGCTTACCCTCTCCAATTTCGTAACTACCAGCAGGACAACCTTGGGGGAATCGGGCAAAAAAAGCTAAAAACTTCAACCCCCGCCTTTTCTTCCCGGCGAGGGAGTCACCAATTTTCCTTTTGTCGAGCCTAGTCGGCATTACCCCGGCACTGTGCCCACTCGAAGACAGGGTGGAGACTTTGGGCCGGACCAGCGCGGGAGGGAGTCCCATTTTTCTTTTGTCCTGGCTATCCCCAGCTGTGTCAGTTGTATGTCATGCAGTTCCGCCTAGATAATTTTTACCAGTATTCTAATCTCTTTGTTATAAAAATGCACTTATCATCCATTCTTCCATTTTTGTCTGCAAACCCCAGTGCTTCGGCTAAATCCGTTGCCCCCTCCGAGAGGGCGGGAGCTAACCCTGTGCTCCTCAACGCCACATGTTCTATTGTCTCGTCTTCCCCTT